CTTTCGCCCCCCAGAGACCCCGGGAAAGGGCAGCCCATCCACCCCCACTTTTCTGGGCAACCCCGCCAGGCCCTTCAACCGCGGCTGGAGCCCCGAGGGAGCCTCCAGTATGGCCGAGCCCCGCCGGCTCCCTCCGCGCTCTTTTGCCCGGGGCGGCTGCTCTTTTGCTGGGGGCCACCCGACCCCACCCGCCCCCCCCCCGACGGCTCACCGTGGCCCAGGGCGACGAGCGCGGCTCCTCCAGGAAAGCCCAGGCCGCCCGCGCCCACCGCTCCCACCGCCCGTCCGTCCCGCGCGGGCCCCGCTCCAGCAAGCCGCGCCGGTCCTCTCGCCGCCCGGGGCCGCCGCCCTCCTCCTCGGCCTCGTCGTGGTCGTCGTGGTCGCCGGGGCAGAGCTTGCTCCAGCAGCAGGCGGGCAGCCGCGCCTCCGTCAGCCCCCAGAAGGCCAGCTCGGCGCGCAGAGCGGCGCGGCAGGCGGCGGGCCCGTGCAGGTGGCCGCTGCGGCACAGGTGCAGCACCTGCTCGAAGAGGCGGCCGCTCCGGTCGAAGAAGAACTCGCCGGCGCGGGCGTCGAAGTCGAAGCGGTCCGCCGCCCCGGGCTCGGCCAGCCCGCCCAGCTTGGTGCCCGGGAAGGCGGCCAGGGTGCCGCGGCAGGTGCGGTAGCGGAGCCCGCCCACGTTCAGGGTGACTCGGCCCGAGGGAGCCTCCATGGCCGGCGCGGGGCTGCACGACCTGCCGGGGAGGAGAAGCGGCGGGGTGCCGAGGGCCCCGCTGGGCTCCGTCCGGAGGGCGCTTCCCTGCTGCCCGAGGGCGCCGCTGGGACGCTGCTCGGCCGGCCCACCTCGCAGGGCGCCGCGGAGGAGGGCGAGGAGGAGGCGGCCCCACTGAGCTCCCCGGCCAGGCGCTTTGCGGCCGTCCCCGCTTCCCCTCCGCCCGACGGAGCCCGCGCGGCCAGGGCGAGAGCAGCAGCGGCGGCGGCGAGAGAAGGCTCGGGCGGCCGGACAGCGCGGAGTCTCCCAGGCGAGCGGCGGAGCGAGGCGGCCAATCCGGAGCGAGTCGCCCCCTTCCCGCCCCGTTGCGGAAGGAGGGAAGAGCCGCCCCGCCGCCCTTGCTGGCCCGGAGCCCCCAGCCCTTCCGAGGGGGGGGCTTGTAGGTCATCTAGTCCAACCCCCCATCCCTGACGGATGGCAGTGCAGCCTCTTCTTGAAAGCCTCCAGGGATGAAGCGCCCAGAACTTGCCAAGGCAACTTCTGTTCCCTGGACAAATGGGGAAGATGGACCCCCGCCCTCACGGAAACACACACGCGT